ATACATACATATACATATACTGCATAGGGACACACCCTTTAACTTTATGAGCAAAATTTCACTTCTCAATACTATTATAACCAAAATATTGATCAACCCAAAATGTTAAATTTGAGTTAAAATAATGGCTAAGTAATGTTTTGTGTATATAAATCTTTATTTCTCTTTTGGCTAAAAAATTACAAAAGCAAAATATCTCCTTATTTAGTACTAAGAAAGAAAAAAATGTCAATTGTAGTATGATACTCCATCTATTGTAAATTATAAGATGCCTTCCAATTTCAGAGATATTAAAATATGAAAAAAACAAATGTTAGAATCAGTGAAATGCATTATCTGTCACTGACTTACATATCTTATAAATTTTATTTATTTTCTTTTCAGTTTGTTTTAACAACTTAGACACAAAATAGCTTACCTGCTAAATATTTAATATTATCAAGCTTGTGCGACTCGAGCATGGTTTTGAGGCCAGCAACCTCAGTGTCTATCTTTCTGTCTGTCTGGGTGACGGCCCGGTCTTGCTGGGCATGCTTTTAAAACAAAGAGATTCATAGCATTAATCCTTCTGGGATATACCATGCCCTCTTCTCTCTCAGTCCTGAGAGTCCCTTCCCAATAGGGTGCAGTCAAGGGGAATGGGGGTAGGATTAGAGACTGGGCTTTAGTCTTAGTTCCACTAGCTTCATGTTATGTTGTGTTGGTCAGGGCCTTTAATATATCTAGGGCTGTTTCCTTCTGTTTGAAAAAAGGAAAAATAAATACCATTAGTCCTGCCTTCAAATAGGTTGTTTACAGAATCGAATGTGATAAGCTATGTAAAAAAGCTTTTGTACGTTGCTCCACAAATAAGTTTAATATTATGAAGCCAGTCTGTTCTCAATGGCAGTGAATATGTCCCATTCTTGTAAATCCTTCTTTTTCTTCTTTTTTTTTTTTTGAAGATTTTATTGGGGAATTGGGGAAAGGGAACATTGTGTTTTTCCAGGACCCATCAGCTCCAAGTCAAGTTGTCGTCCTTCAATCTTAGTTGTGGAGGGTGCAGCTCAGCTCCAAGTCCAGTTGCCACTTTCAATCTAGTTGCAGTGGGGGGTGGGGGGTGGGCACACAGACCACTATCCCATTCGGGAGTCGAACCAGCAACCTTGTTGTTAAGAGCACGCGCTCTCACCAGTTAAGCCATCTGACCGCCTGTTGGCAGCTCAGTAGCAGTTCAGCTTGGGCGCAGCTCACTGGCCCATGTAGGAATCGAACCGGTGATCCTGTTGCTAAGAGCCTGAGCGCTAACCAACCACACCACCCAGCCGGCCCTATAAATCCTTCTTAGTGAAAGGTACACAGAAAATGCTTTTAAAAAATGAATGGAGTCTTGAAGAATCTGAAATTAACAGTGCTTGCTTTGACACTACGTCTACTCACATTTTTAAGTTTTCTTCTTTTATGTTCAAACACCAGTGTTTTATTATTATGAGGCTCGGCCATACCAAAGGCCTATTTGTGTTCTTTCCCCAATGTAATACAGTTAAACTAGATACATAATTACCCCCAAAGAGTGGTGAGTTTGGCTGATGTTATAAAGGGGTTGTCATATTTCATTAATGTATAAAAGCACTGGAAATGCTTCACTAAAAATCCTAGGGCAAGTAAGTAGTTCCCTATGGCTAACAATTCTGGTAATGATTAAGGAAATAAGCGTCTTAAAATTAATCCAGAGGAATATTCCAGTATTCTCTCATGGAAGTCTCCTGTAGGTTTCAGAGGTCCAAGGTAATACAGGATGGAAAAGAAGTAATGCATGCCATCAGTTAAAAATATAATAAAAAGACTCCTTTATTAAAATACAATAATTCCTTATTATTCTTCAATCACTGAGCTTTAAATTTTATTAAGATAATCAAGTATTTGGTTAAGTGCAAAAAAAATCCTATGACCCTCCACTTCTGAGTTTATACTCAAAATAACCAAAAACAGGGACTCCCAACAGATACGTTTACAGAAGCATTACTCACAGTGGCCACAAGGTGGCAGCCACCCAAGTGTCCAGAGCCAGAATAATCACAGTGTCTATAGCCATACAATGGAATTATTATTTAGCCTTAAAATGGAAGGGAGTTCTGACAGATGCTAAAATATGGATGAACCTTGAGGACATTATGCTCAGTTAATTAAGCCAACAACAGGGCACATATTGTATGATTCCACTTATAGGAGGTGCCTAGAATAGTCAAATTCATGGACAGAAAGGAGAGTGGTGGTTGCCAGGAGCTCGGGGAAGAAGGAAATGGGGAGTTAGTGTTTAATGGAGAGAGTTTCAGCTCTGCAACATGAAAATAGTTCTATGGATGGATGGTGGTGATGGCTGCATAACAACGGGAATGTATTTAATGCCACTCAAGTGTACAATCAAAAACGGTTACAACGGTAATTTTTATGTGTATCTTACCACAATTAAAAAAACCTAGGACACTAAATCTCCATATATTTTCCAATAACATATCATTACAAACAACAGTAACCATGCATGGGCTGAAGCAGAGATGAATAAAATGACCAAGGAAAGTCAGTCTCATTTCTTACCAAGGCCACCATTTCTGTCTTCATTTCCAGCAGCTTCCTTTCGTTCAAAGAATACTGAAACACACATGTCACATAGGTCAGATTCTGGTTTATTCCTTTCTCTGTCTCCTCTTTTTCTAGTGCCTTAAATATTCTGGTCTTACTATTTCCAAGAACATGTAACACTAGAAATCACCTCTGGGATAAAGTGGCCTACTTGACCCTCTCCTTTAGATCTGTTTTTTGAAGCTTCTTATTTATACTCATTCATCTCTCCAATATCTGGATTCCCTTTTGTCATCCTTCATCTCTCTCTCTCTCTCTGCTATGTTTTTCTCTTTTCATCTCTTCACTGTAACGTCTCTAGGTCCCTCCCACTATTATAACAGCATTCTTTGGGACCAATTTAGATGATTCTGAGTCATATACTTATTGGCTTTGAGAGAGTTGAAAAAAGTGGGAAATAATTTCAATTTAGGAGCTATCCCATCATAACTATACATAAAATAGGTCACTACTTGAAGCTTAGACAAAAGATAGGAAAGGTGTTATATTGGGGAAAAATAGTTTCAAGGAATATTATTCTGGACATAGAGTTGTTTTGTGATTATAAAACACAATGTGACTACGTAGATACAAGAAATACACTAAACCAACACATGTTGGTTTTAATTAAAAACAAACAAACCCACTTGGGTGTAGTCAGAACCCAGTGTTACTAAAGGAACTAACTAGTTGTTCCCAAAATAAAATGCTATCTTGCCTTTGGCTGTTAATGTCTGTGCAAAGATTTAGTGCAATTTTGTTGACATGAGACCAAAATCAGACATATCTCCTTAGTAGTGGGCATCACGATTTAATTCAACAAGTGCAAATCTATAATTTAAGTGAAGAATTAAAAATTCTTCACTAAATTAATGTTGTCATAGGAAAATAATGCTTTTGAAGTGTCTAGAAACTTTCTAGTTATAAAATTTCCCCAAGTCTACTAGGGGAGTAGAAAAACAGCATTACTTAGAAATTAAAAAAAAAAAAGTAAAGAAAAAAACCCCAGAACCCCAAACTAAGGTCTAGTCAGTCATAAGATCAAAGCATGCGCATTTCCATCTTTTAAATGTCAGGGTTTTCGCTGAGGAGAGAGCTATGCATTAGATTACCACCAGAGGGCAGGGTGGAGCTGGATTTTCTGCACACCTTAAACTGGCTGGCCCTTCAGTAAATCACCACTGACTCAACAACGAGAAAAGAAAAACCTAAATCTTGACGTGGCCATGATTTTTAAAATAAGTTCTATGTGGCTCCATCTCCCTGTATTCCAAAGCAGTTTATAGGCCATACTTTCGAAACTGGCAGTAAATATCACCACAGTTAATGTAATTGACACTATTAACTTTATTAAACAAAGGAATGAGGGGGTCAAATAATTCATCTTCATCAATACATGTTAAATACATAATAATATATATACTACTGCATAAAGCTGTATAATAATACGCTACTTTCTTGCACTTCAGAGTAATCTGAGTTTAGGATTACCAAGAACAACTTCTCAGACAGGTTAGTAAATTAACATTGGCTTTAATCCATCCTCACATCTCACATTTCCCAATCTCCTAGGTATATTTCTTCCCAGCTTGATTAGCTACAGGCATCTTCCTAAATCAAGTGAATTCAAAATTTTTGCTAAGTACATCCATAAGGACAAAGGTAACCAAAAGAGTTTCTCCTCTTCTAGATACTAGTCATAGTGATCATTAACTATTTTGGTGATACTAAGTGATTTAATCTCCAGTGAAAAGTGTTTTAAGACTAGAAAGGTAGGTAACATGGGCATAATTAATTATTTAGTATAATGAGCTCAACTAACTCTTAAAATCCAGACAGTTCTAAAACACACTTAAGTACTTATTTTGGTTTCAATATCAGCTTCATTTATCATTGTGGCACATTTTGATGAAAAGCAATTGTAAAAAATGAGAAGACAATGAACAATTGTGAGTGCTGAGTTTCTGTATGTGTATTCAATTCTGCATTAGTAAAAAATGCTTTATATGCCCTATTTCTCATTATGCAAAGAATAAAAAAGGTATCTACCTAATGTTATCAAATTCAAATAAAGCCTGAACAAGAAGGTAGATGGGTTAAAAATCACTAGAGGCAACCAAACACACATCTTTATTAAAACATACGACTTACTGTACCCCCGTGTTCAGGGCAGCATTTACTACGCCAAGATATAGAAGCCATCTGAGTGTCAATTGATAGATGGATAAAGAAAATGTAATATAAATATATATGCAAATATGATATACATGTACATAATGTAACATTACTCTGCCATAAAAAAGGAAATCTTGCCATTTGTGACAACGTGGATGAACTTGAGGGCATTATGCTAAGTGAAATAAGTCAGAGACAAATACTGTATGATCTCACTTGTATGTGGAATCTAAAACAACAACAAAAAACCCCAAGCTCACAGATATTGAGAACAGACTGATGGCTGCCAAGGGCAAGGGGTGGGCAAAATGGGTGAAGTGGGTCGGAAGGTACAAACTTCCAGTTAAAAAATTAGTTAAGTCATGGGGATGTAATATACAAAATGGAGACTATAGTCAATAATACTGTATGGTATATTAGAAAATTGCTAAGAGAGTAAATCCTAAAAGTTCTCATCACAAGGAAAAAAAATTGTAATTATGTACAGTGACGGATAGATATTAACTGGACTTTTGTGGTGATCATTTCGCAATATATACCAACACTGAATCATGTTGGACACCCGAAACTAGTATATGTCAATTACATCTCAATTTAAAATAAAGAAGTGTTACTGTGAAAGCTCTGAGGGGAAAAAAATTGTATTTTTTGCATTATCTTTGAAAAAGCAAGGAGAACAGAGCTATATTTCCAGTTTTCTTAGGTCCTGCGCATGATCCCACAAGTTATGGCACAGGTAGGTATTTCCTTCACCTTAATTAGTTACAACCTACATTTTGTGATATCTTTTTGGTAACAAATATACAACACTACTTTTCGTAACTAAAAATTTCAAGTTAACATAATTTAAAGAATCATTTAGAATTTGCATTTCAAAACAATGTAATAAAATTAAGATTTCTCTATTTAAAAAAAGACGGTATGGAAATATTTTTTTAATCTTGAATTTCAGTATAAAATTTAGTATTATTTAATATTAATAATTTAATATCATTCAAGTCAGATAATCAACTTAACTTTTATAAAATCAGGATCTGTGGAGGTTTAAATCAGTATTAAATAGATCAAGATTGAGTTTTTTTTATTAAAGCCTGAGTGACACATAATTTAGTATCTCTGAAACAAAAAAAGATTCAGACTTGATTTGACCAAGATTTTAATTTTAATGTTACTTTCGAAAGCATCAAATTTAAGCCCTAATCCAAAACATAATTAAAATTTAAAAAATTGTATCTAATGATATACAGGTAAATATTTAACAGTACTTGTGAATTATATATAAACTTAGACTTGACTAAGCATTCCATCCTGCAAAGAAATTAATTCATACTCTATTTAAAAAGAAACATACCAATTCTTTTACTCTGCTCTTTTCTAGATTGAAGTCTAATTTGGTATCTGTTCGGACTTTCATCACTTCATCCTAGTAGGAGGGCAAACAACAAAGAAAGAAAGAAATCCAAAGTAAGAAATCCAAACCCTCTGAGGATGTGAAGCCTGGGGAAACTGCCTCCACTGTTTCTACCCTAAAGGGCCAGCCCGGGGAAGGGGCGGGACAGGGGCTCACAGTGAAACGGAGCCGGGAGCTCGTGACTAGTGATGTCAAGCCATGTCTGGAGTCAGCCCTGTCTTGGGACTTCCCAGTTACACATACAAATAATCCCCTTCTATGTTTCAATTAGCCCAGAGTGGGTTATTGTTGCTTTTAACCTCAAGATTCCCAAGATAATCTCCTTGTGCAATTTATGGTTAAAGCTGTTCCTTGGACAACTTTGGAAAGCAGAGATGGACTCAAAAAAGTAAAATATTACATTATTGTTTAAATAAAGCCTTCTTTCTGACACTCATCAAAATCTTTTCTTCTTTAACATCAATGTACTTTCCACTTAAAAAAAAAAATCAAACCGGCACATCAAGCCTTTTAAAATCAGATGAGATTTTCTAAAGACAGTCTCTACTAAGATAATCTAAGGGTTCCACATGCCTACTTTAGAAAATTTTTTATTTAAAAATGAATTCCTCCTAGAACACAATGTTCTTAATGAATTTGGTTTCAGACATCAGGAATTTATTCAGTGGCTGTGTTTTTAGATAAATCTTCCAATGTGTACTTCTGAGACATACTGTACAAACATTTAACATAAAATTAAGTTTTTAAGAACATATAAATTATTTGACATATTTATTTCTAAGCTTATTAATTATAAACAAGCAAGCAAACAGGGATGAAGATCTTACCATTATTTGTTGTTTTAACCGATGTAGTTCAAGTTTTACTTTCTAAAAATACATGAAAAAAAAAAACAAGTCAAAGATATGTTTAGAAGGTTAGAAGAAAAATATAGAATTTGGTAATAAACAGACAGCAGAACATGTATTTATGCTCAAGTTTTTCAAGTTCTTCCCTCATTCAATACGAAGTCGGCTACATTCAGAATACAATATAACTGAACAGTCTCAGTACCAGAAGTGATTATTTGTCATGCCAGGATGGTACAATTTTTTTTTAACATACACATTTGCCTTCAGAGGCCTTGTTTTCTTTAATACCTCCTTTAATTTTTCTTTTAACTAACTGCCCTCAAACAGCTGACTTCAAGGACACCTCTGAGAGTTTCAAACTTTACCTTTTCAAGCAAAAGAAGGAATCTTTTGCCAGAAGGTTTCTTGTAAGACTAACAGGTAATAAATAAACTTCCTTTATGGGACATTAATAGGACTGAGAACAAAAGGAAGATGCACAGAGGGCACTTATTTAAACGCTGATCCCATATGCCACACTTGAAGAAACTAAGGGTTATTTTACAGCAGCATGTATTCATAATAACCCAAAATCAGAAAAAATTCTAATATACATCACAGTAGAATAATGTGGCATAATCATATAATACTGTAGACAATGAAAAAGAAGGATCTACTGCTGCCAGACACACTGTAAGACTCCATCAATTGAAGTTCTAGAATAGGCAAAACCAGTCAATATTGATAGAAACCAAGAGAGTGGTCTCCTCTGTGGGAGGAGTAACTAGAAGGGGACAGAGGCAAGACTTCTGGGGTACTGGTGATTTCCACTGTTTGATCTGACTGGTAGTGTACACCTTGTGAAAATTCATCGAGATGTACACTTATTGTGCACTTCTGTGTATGTGTATTTTATCTCAATGTCTGAATATAAAACATTTTATAACTATGAGTGGCTGTGTAGTCTTACCTCATTTTCTGCTCTGAGGGCAGAGAACTCACTCTTCTCCAAAATAATCATGTCTTTTTTCACATTAGCAATCTGAGACATTATTTGCTGAAGAGTGATTTCCTAGGAAAACAAAAACAAAACATATAACCCAGTCTGTTCTAGGAAGTTCACCTCCCACCTGGTATCACCTTAATGAGAAACTAGAAGAATGTGGACACAAGAAAAGAGGTTCAGCAAGGTCATCCTCTATGTCAAAATAAGAAGAGGAAGCAAACAAAAACTCAAGTCCAGTATCATCATCAAGTGAATCAGTTAAAAAGGGTGGTAGTTTGAGGACAAGAAGCTTGAGAACACACTGCTGTAACTCTGGCCACATCTCCATTTACTAAAGTATGGTGGACCGGAACAGTCAGTTTTCCGGCATGATTCTACATATAAGAGTTCACTAAATAGCTTTGAATAAATATTTTTTATGCCACTGTAATCATTTGCCTCTCAACTACGGTTAAAATTACTATGCTTTTCAACAGAATAGTATCCAAAAATATATGTTACAAATAACATCCGCCCTTTAGATTTTAAATGTGCTAAACGTGCCCCGACAAAGCTAACCTGTTGCATCTTGGTGACCATGTCTTTGTAGACGATATCCATGTTGGCCTCCGTGATCTTGATCAGTGAAGATACAATGATTTCTGCTTGTTGAGTAGTAAACCCTAAGCAAACACACAAAGGCAATCACACTCAGGAGACTCCAGTTGTCAAAAAAAAAAAATCCTTTATAGAAAGGGAGAAAACGCAAACTTACACATTCGGAAGCAGGTGAAAGCCTAGTGTGGTCGGGGAATGAAGAGACTACAGTCACAGGCAATGACGTGTTCGTCACTCTGGACAAGGATAACACATCTGAGTCTGTTTCCTCGTGTAAAAGGAGGGGTTTGGCTAACTGTTCTCTCACATCCTCCCTAGCTATCAAAAATCATGTTTTCAGAGAATGTCTAATCACACAGAAGATGCCTGCACTGCAAGGTCAGCTGAAAAAAGAGCGACATTCCAAACTATAGATACAATTTATTGCTTTTGTAATTTAACAAAGATTCTAGGTAATTTTTATTTTCTTCTGTGCTGTCTGAATTTTTTTCTACAATGGATGACTTACTTTATTTAAAACTGTATATATTAGCAAGAAATAATTTACTTACGTAGAAAAGCACAGTTATTTTATATCTAGCATAAATCAGTCAAATCATTGACTATGTAAATAGCAATTTAGCTTTCAGTTAATGTAATGTTAAAAGACAGAATGTTGAAATCAGTTCTTTCATTTTTCCGCCACAATTCTCATCAGTCACTAGTGACAGGGGCCCAAACTGGAAAAAAAATATATTGATACTCAATAAATGATGCTGAGTTGAATTATATAAAGATTCAACTCAGCAGTATCATTGTTTTTAATAACTTTGATAGTAATTTATATTTCACATTGGAAATTCTAATAAAATGCTTAAAACCAAGTCCCTGGAAAGTAATTCTTTCTATTAAATATGTCAATCTATAAGGACTTCAAAGGGATCTATTGATTCTTGTAATTAATTCATGGCACATATGTTTGAATAAAGTTATAACTGATATAATCTAGATGAGATTAAGCAAAGGACTATAGTTAAAACAACAACAACAATAAAGACACGATTTAAAGGAGACAAAAAGACCTATTGCCTTTACTTCTTTCAAAATCCTTTAATTTTCAATGTGTGGGTCATGCACATCTAGAAAAATCTCCCAAAAGGTTACCCTCCAAAATGTTAACATTGTTTAGCTGTGGGGTATTGGGATTCAGAATAGTTTTTCTTGTTTCTTTTCTGTCTTCCTGATTTTTTGAAGATGAACATATCTTTTGTAGTTTTTAAAACTTTAAGAGTTCACAGTTAAATATAATGAGGTTTGGCAACTACGAAGAAAAGGAAAACAGAGACTAGAAGAGAACTTATGCCGATAATAAAGCAAATAAACTCCAAAGCCTTATAATTGATAACCACCAGTATGGGAGGTGAAAGGGATAAGAAAAAGCAGAAGTTAAACCTTAAAATCTAATGGGTTACCAGACACCAATTAAATATTTGTAGGAACGAGAGAACAAGACACAATCAGGGTCAGTGAGATAACAGATACATAGGAAGTTTTGTTAATCAGGAGACATTAACTGAAGAAAGAAAGGATAAAGGACAGAATATTCCTTGAAGGGTTCTTCCTGGCCCTTATCCTAACCCAGACAACTCTGACATCCCATCATGCTCTCAGTGCCTTCACACTCTACACCTCAGTGGGGTCCTCACATCACACTGGTCTTAAAATATGCAAATATTCATGGGTCAAGGTTTGAAATCAAGAAAAGCAGGAAGTACATATATGGAAACATCACATTTTAAACATTCACAATTTTTATTTATCAAAATAAGTAAGTAAATAAATAAATAAAATTTTAAAGGGGGGAAGGGGATCTAAACTCCACCTATCATTAGGAGGAAGGTTTGGTGGCCATTTGAGTCCACTGCAGCTACCATGCCATTGTCACTCTTCACAAAATTAATGATGCTCCCTTAGTATCATCAAACACCTAGTGTATCTTGAAATGCCCGTTATCTCTAACATCTCTTTTTATAATTGGTTCCTTTGAATACAAACATACAATCTACAAAAAAAAAGAAGAAAAAGAAAAGTAGGAAGACTTCTGCTTATCAAGATAATTTTAGATGCCCCCCTTCTCACTTCCACTTTTCTTTCTGACCAATGAAACAAGTTTTTGGTGAAAAAGGCCTACTATTTCAAGTTTGAGAAGAAAAGCTGTAAAAATTATTATACAGCATTTGACAGTTTTTCCATTGTGCATTCAAGTATATTACCTCATTTAATACTCAAAAAGATCTTCGGAATTCTTTTTTTTTTTTAATAGCTGAGCCATCCTGCTACCTGTTGGCAGCTCAGCTGGGGCCGGGACTCAAACCGCTGTTGCTCAGAACTCGCACTCTTGAGCGAGCTCTTAACCAACTGAGCCACTCGGCCGGCCCTGGAATTCTTATTATGCCCACATACCAATGAGGAAATGGACACTGAGAAGGAAAAAAGGGCTGCCGAGGCTATGCAGCTGGATGGAACCCAGCAGTTTGAACCCAGAGCTTCTGACTCCCCAACATGAGCACAGAATTCATTCCATCACCTTGATCTGTGCATGTGAAGTACATTTACAGAGGGCAGCTTTGCAGATAAGAACATGCACAACTGGATAAATAACTATACAATGAAGTAAAAAACACAGATACGTTTATTTCAAAGCCATAATCTATGATATTCAAGATTCTGATTTTGAGAACATACGTCACAGTAGAGAATTATAATTAGTGTATTTGTCTACATAAGACTAAATATGAGAATGTTACCTATATACTAAGTATACTTTCAATAAATGTCAATATATATCAGAGCAATCTTTTATATTAACTCAATAGCAGTAAAGGAAAATGTTCGTCTGAGTATTTGTTAAAAAGAATACAATAAGTTGATATTACCAATAATTGCTGCTCAGTAACATTTTAATTTCACAAAAATTGTAAAAGCACACAAGATGCACAATAATAAAACTATCATTTTTGTGCTTCAGACAGTTGGCATAGGAATCACTCCTGAGTTTTGTGGACTTGTGTCTAAATTTTTAACTATAATACCATATTTCCAGAGTGATGTTATAAGAATACACTTCACTTGAGCAAAATATGTAAGAAAAATCTCAATTGTATTGAGGAAGCAAAAATGTCCTTCAACCAAAAGTGAGGACTTAAAGAAATGAAGATTGACCAAAAGATTACTTGTAGACTTAAAAGTCAAAGAGACACATGAGAAATTAGATGAATCATAAGAGAAGTCATAACAGCGTTTTTCTATGGCACTGAGTGACCAATGTGAGATAATTACCATTTTCTTCAAGTAAACACACTAAGGCATGAGTGTCAAAGTACAGCTTCCTATTCCCAGAAGACGTGAAATCTTGGTTTTTCCGCCCCAGCTGCAGGCACCCAGCAGAGAGGCTCAGCTCTAGAACAAAAAGGATAACAGGGTTCAAAACAGGACCTAATGGTAAACAAAAGCAACTCAGCTACATAAAATAATCAGGCATATCTCAAAGCCTATCTGTTTTTCTTTTAATTAAAATTTATTGGGGTGACAATGATTAGTAAAATTACGTAGGTTTCAAGGGTACAATTCTATAATACATCGTCTATATATCACATTGTGTGTTCACCACCCAGAGTCAGTTCTCCTTTCATTACCACATATTTGATCCCGTTTACCATCTTCTACCACACCCCGCCCCGCTTACCCTCTGGTAACCACTAAACTGTTGTGTCTATGAGTTTTTGTTTCTTCATTTGTTTGTCTTATTCCTTTGTTATTTTCCGTTTTATATACCAGATATCAGTGAAGTCATGTGGTTCTCGACTTTTTCTGTCTGACCTATTTTGCACAGCATAATAATCTTAAGATCCATTCGTGTTGTCGCAAATGGCACTATTTCATCTTTTCTTATGGCAGAATAGTATTCCATTGTGTGTGTATATATATATGTGTGTGTGTATATATATATATATATATATATACACACACACATCACAACTTCTTTATCCAATCATCTATCAAAGGACACTTTGGTTGTTTCTGTCTTGGCCACCATAAATAAAGCTGAAACGAACACTGGAGCACATATATTTTTACGGATAAATGTTTTCAGATTTTTTGGGTAGATATCCAGGAGAGGGATTGTTGGGTCATATGGTAATTCTGTTTTTAATTTTTTGAGGAACCTCCACACTGCCTTCCATAACAACTGCACCAATCTGCATTCCCACCAATAGTGTATGAGGGTTCCTTTTTCTCCACAGCCCCTCCAACACTTATTATTTGTCTTGATGATAGCCATTCTAACTGGTGTGAGGTGATATCTCACTGTGGTTTTTATTTGCATTTCTCTGACGATTAGTGATGTTGAGCATCTTTTCATGTCTGTTGGCTATCTGTATTACAGCAGCTTTTTTGAGCTATAATTCACATAGTATACAACTCACCCATTTCAAGTGTATAACTTGATTGCTTTTAGTGTATTTAGAGTTGTATAAGCATGCCCACAATCAACTTTAAAATCTGTCATCAATCCCAAAGGAAACTCTATACCCTTTAGCTTTATGCTCAATACCCCTACTCTCCCATTCCCAGGCAACAACCACTGACTGATCTTTCTGTCTTTATGGATTTGCCTACTCTGGACATTTCATATGAATAGAATCATACGGTATGTGGTATCCTGTAACTTGTTTCTTTCACCTAGCATGATGTTTTCAAGGTTCATCCACCTTGTAGTATGTGTCAGTACCTCATTTCTTTTTATTGCCAAATACTATTCCATTGTATAAATACACTAATTTTTTTTAACCTATTCATCAGTTGAGGGACACTTGAGTTGTTTCCACTTCTTGGCTATTGTGAGCTATTATGAATAATGTTGCTACAAATATTTGTGTATAAAATTTTGTGGGGACATGTTTTCTCTTAGATACATACCTTGGAGTAGAATTGCTGCACCATATAATAACTTTATCTTTAACCTTATGAGGTTATGGCAGACTGCTTTTCAAAGTGACTGCATCATTTTACATTTCCAGCAGCAGTATATGAGGGTACCAATTTCTCCACATCTTCAACACCTGTTATTATCTTTATTATAACCATCTTAGTGGGTATCTCATTGTGGTTTTGATTTGCATTTCACTGATGGCTAATGATGCTGAGAATCTTTCTATGTGCTTGTTGAACATTTGAATACCTTCTCTGGATAAATATCTATTCAGATCCTTTACCTATTTTTTAAAAATTGGGTTATCTTTTTATTGCTGAATTGTAAGAGTTCTTCATATATTTTAGATACGAGTTCCTTATTATATATATAATATCAAATATTCTCTCCTGTTCTGTGGGTTGTCTTTCACTTTCTTGATACTGCCTGTTGAAGCACAAAAGTTTTTAATTTTAATGAAGCCCAATTTATTTTTCTTTTGTTCCTTGTGCTTTTGGTATCAAATCTAAGAAACCACTGGCTACTTGCAGTACACAAAAATTACACCTATGTTTTCTTATAATAATTTCAGTTTTAGCTCTTACATTTAGGTCCTTGACTCACTTAAGTTTTGTATACAAGTGTGAGATGGGGGTTCAACTTCATCCTTTTGGATGACAGGGTGTCCAGGTGTCCAAGTATCCAAGTACTATTCTCTTCCTTCAGTTGTCTTATGATTGTTGTCAGGATCAACTGATTGTAAATATAAGGGTTTATCTATGGGTTCTCCATTCTATTCCATTGATTTATATGTCTGTTCTTATGCCAGTGCCATTTTCTTGACTACTTTGTTGTAAGTTTTGACATCAGGAAATGAGTCCTCCTACTTGGTTCTTTTTCAAGATTGTTTTTTTTATTCTGAGTTTTTTGCATTTCCATATGAATTTTAGGATCAGCTTATCAATTTCTGAAATCTGGATGCCTTTTCAATTTCTTGCCTAGCTGCCCTGGCTAGAACTTCTATTGTAGTACAATGTTGAATGGAATAATGAGAGCAGACATCCTTGCTCCTGACCTTAGACAGAAAGCATTCCATCTGTTGGCATTAAGCATGATGTTAGCCATGGGTTTTTGCCTTTTATCAGGTGAGACAGTTCCCTTCTATTCCTATTTTGTCAAATGGTTTTGGGTTTTTTTGTTTGTTTGTTTTTGTAATCTTGAAGGGACATTGAATTTTGTCAAATATCGTTTCTTTGTCTTTTGAGGTGATCACGCAGTTTCTCTCCTTTATTTTGTTAATATGGTGCATTACATAAACTTATTTTCAGAAGTTAAGTAAACCTGGTGTTCCTGGGAGAAAATCTCATCTGGTCATGGTGTATACTCACTCCTTTTTATATATTGCAAGATTGGGTTTGCTAGTACAGTAATACCTTGGTTTGCGAGCATAATTCATTCCAGGAACAAACTACTCATATTGCAAGACATCGCTTGTTTACCAAGTTAAAATGTATTAGAAATGTTTGCTCATCTTGCGGAACACTCTCAAACCAAGTTACTCACAATCCAAGGTTTTACTATATTTTGTTGTGGATTTCTGTGTCCTTATTCACAACAGATATTGATCTGAAGTTTTCTTCCCTTGTGATGTCTTTGCAAAAGCCTATCTTTAGAGAGATGTGTTCTAACAATTTGTATATTACCATTTTTATGAATCTCTATGCACTTAACCACAGATTCCAACCCATTTTGTAAACTTATTTCAAAGTGCTCATTTGAAGGAGGTAGCATAGTAATGGTTTCCTGGCTTTTGTATTTCAAGAACCACAGAAATAGTTTTTTAAAAATATGGTACAATTGCAGTGCCAATTTGTAATTTTGTCAAGAAAGGACATTTAAACATAATCGCGCCTTACTATTACAATCATATTTTAAAAAAACATTTTGAAAACAAAGGAATAAAAAGAGATGGACAATATAAAATAAAAATCTTTCATTCAAATGTAATTAACATAGCTAAATGAAAATCTTGCTATATAGTTGTCCTTACTTGTCAGGTGTTGTAGACGAGATAACAGTCATCTACTAACTCAAAGTTCAAAGGTTTTCTCCGTAGGTCTCCTAAATAACCAGAAAGATACTTCAGCTAATCAACTATTCTCAATCCTTCACCCCTAAACACTCTAAAAGAAACTGCAAGTAAGCAAAAACGTGACATGGACAGGTCACAGGTCTGATTCTTCTCTGCAAGCTTAGAGCAGTGGGTTCCAACTTATTGGCTACTTGGAAAGAGTGGGGTTGCTGTCGTCAGTTAGCATCAAGGTAAGTGCAAGAGCTCCAATAATCACTCTGAACCACTCACTGTTTGCAGACTGACAAAATATAAAATGCAACACTACGTGTTGTATGTGTACATTTAATGGTTAAAAGGGGGCCCTTACATTCAAAGAACCACTAGCCTATACTATAAGGTCCTTGGCAAGGCATACAAAGCCTATCCCAATTTAGCCCACACTTACTCTTTCAGCTTGCTTTCTAACCACCTAAGTAAGCTATTCTGTTTGCTGAACTTTCACGCCTTGGTATTCCATCCTTTAGCATGGCTTGCTCCCCTTTCTCAACTGGTAAATTTCAAGCAACCCTTTTACTCCTCTTCATTTAATTTGACAATTTACTAATAAGCATCCCTTATGTTCTGGTTCTGGTTACAAAATTTGTTTCTCTCTGCCAACTCCACCCAGGTCAGGGAACAGCCTTTATTGCTCTCTTATCTGTGTTCTCAGCCCAGTACAGATGGCTCTATCATGGCACTTAGCACATTATTTCCATGTCTGTATCATCTGTTAGTCCAAGAGTCCCAAGAACAGCCAGTCTTAATCATTTTTGTTTTGTTAGCATCTAGCAGAGGGCCTGGCATATCCTGCAGGCCAGAAAAAATTAAAAACAAAAACTCAACTGTATGATTTCTAAGATCTGTATCATGAAACTGTCTAGAAAGAAAAACTGACATCAACTCCTTTCTCCTCCTCACCTACACTCTTTCCTTTTTACATTGAGTACTTTTTTTTCTTTTTGGAATGTGGCAAACCACACAGTGGCTCTGCAGTTCCACTCAGAAGTGACACCTATCACTTCTATTCACATTCCATTGGCAAAGCAAGTCACAAAGGTCTGGAAGGCAAACTCAAAACATTCAGTGAACAGCTCAGTGTTACCCCTTTTCCTAAACACCCTATACCAGCAGAACCAACGTGCTGTAATGCTCTTCGTTGCACTGCTCTGTATTAAACATTATACTCGTATTTCCTTGTTTATTGTCTGTTTTCTCCCCCTAAAATCTAAGCTCTGCAGGGGCAGGGTGTGCCTGGTTTTGTTCATTGCTATACTCGAGGCACTTAATAGGCAACAAATGACGTGTAGTCAAATGGATCAATAACAACACGAATAGTTAATATGTAAAGGTGCTGACCATGTGCCTGGCAACATG